TTGGATCTTAAAAGTTTTCATCACAAGGAAAAAACTTTTTGTAACAATGTATGGTGATGGCTGTTAATTAGACTCATTGTGTGATCATTTCAGAATATACACAAGTATCGAATCATTATGTTGTACACCTGAAACTAATATAATGTTTTATGTCAATTATTCCTCAATAGAAAAAAAGGGAAAAAAGTTGCAGGAATTGTGCAGTGAACACCCATACACCTAGCACCTGGGTGCTGGTGTCCTCTCTCCATCCGTCAGTTCATTTCTAGCCAGACTTCTTTTACACATTTCCATACATGTTGAGACATCAGTATGCTTCATCCCTACATACGTTAGCATACACACAATTCTTGAGGGTTCACTGTCTGTTCATGTTTGTTTAAGGTGACATGTATACACAGTGAGCGGCACTCATCCTGCATGGGCCATTCCTGCTTCTTGACAAATGAGACCCAAACTCCTATCAAGGATGTTACTGTCACCCCAGAAATTTCCCTTGCGCCTCTTCCCAGCCAATCTCCAACACACTAGAGGCAACACCGTTCTGGTTTTTCTCACCATAGATCAGCTTTGCCTGCTCTGGAACGTCACAAAATGGAAGCATACCGTGTGTCTTTACTCTTTTGTGACGGGTTTCTTTCAATCCACTTCGAATACTGAGACCCCTGCTCCTGAGACTCATGCATGCTGGGGTGTGTATCAGTAGTTTGTTCTTTGTGATTGCTGGGTGTGACGCCACTGCATGGGCATCCCACCATTTACTCATCCGTGCACCTGCTGATGGCATGTGGGCTGTTCCCACCTTTCAGCTTTATGAATAGGCCTCGATGAGCATTCTTGTACAAGTCTTTGTGTAGAACTTGTAAATATGTCTTTATTTCTCTTAGGTAAGTACCCAGGAGTGCAATGGCTGGGTGTAGGGAAGGTATACGTCCAGTTTTGTGAGAAATTGCTAGATCTTTTCCTGATACACGATCTATTTTTTATCCCCCTCACTCTTTTAAACACAGATAGTAGCATACACTATTCTTGCCTTTTTTCCCCCTCACCAGCACATCTTGGAGAATCTTCTAACTCAGTGTTTAAAGAACGTCTTCCTCGTTCTTTTCCACGAGAGGGAGGTGCTGTAATTTATCCAGCTCCCTTCTAATGGGCATTTAGATGTTTCTAGCCTTACTGAGCTGGTCTTTGCAGGATGAACGGCGTTTGAAGGCAGACAGGCAGAGGGAATCTGGGGAAGGCCCAGAGGCTTGGTGGACATGGCAGAAGCCCTATTACGGGGACGTGGGCTTTCGGAGGATGGAGGAGCTCCTGACCCACTTACCCCACAGGGGCTCAGTGAGGCGTGTTGGGGGCAGGGGTGACGTGGAGATGTGCCGGCCAAAGGCGCTGGGGTAGGGTGAGGGGGAGTCCCAGAGTGTTTGGGGCAGGGGAGTGAGTGCCCACCTTTCCAGAACTAGGCACTGGTGGACATTGAAGTTCACACTGGGTCTTCTGCTGACTCTCAGACTGTGTCACATGCCCACCCCCTGGCCCTCATGTCAGGAAGCCATGCTCTTCCCTGGGCCATGGGCTGACCCCCCAGGGCAGAGATGGGAGGCGCACCCATCTTCCCCACTGCACGTGAACGTCCTGAGGACTTCCTCCCAGCCTGGCAGCGACTCGGGCCCAGGAAAGGCTTTCAGCAGGAGCAGGCGGGCAGGGCCATGGGGCGGGGGTGTCAGCAGGAGGAGGGAAGTAGTTGGACTGGAGCAGGGCTGCCAGCTGAGCAGGGGCTGCCTCGAGCCAAGGACAGGTTCCCTGCAGGGAGCCAGCCAAGGGCAGCATGGAGAGGCTGCTGGAGTGGGGCGCGTTTCCCTGGGCCCTCATTCCTCGCCCTGACTGGGCCTCTAGCAGAGGTCCCTGCAAGCAGGCCCAGCAGCCAAGCAGGAGCTCCGAGTTGGACGTGCACCTCAGGCTTTGCGTCTGGCTCTGCGGCTAAGTGGCAGCATGACTTCTGGCCACTCTATTTCCCTGGGCCTCAGTTTCTGCACCAGTCAAAAAGAGACAAGCTGTTTCTTCCTGGGCCTCCAGCAGGTGAGGGTGAGGGGTGAGATCACGTGTAGGAAGCGGCCAGCACGGTGCCCACCGCACAGGAAAAGAGCAAGCATCGCCAGATGACAAGCAGGAGGCCCTGCTCTACACTTCCTGGTGCATAGGTGGGAAGTGAGGTGCAGAGGGGCGGAGGGCTGGCCCGGCATCACAGTGAGCCAAGGCAGAGCCTGGCACCCCGAGCCACACACGTGGCTGCTTGAATGTAGGCCCTTTGGCTCTGCTCCCCAGTGAGGCTGGTGGCCACAGGCCCAGGCAGCACGAGAGGGCACAGTGCTTCTCTGGGGACAAGAGCTTTTCTGCCTTGAGTTTCTGGAGGTCAGAACAGGGCACCCTGCTGGCCCAGCATTTCGCTGTGCCTGCTGGCCTGGCTCCTGTCTGGGGTCTCTGAGCCCGCTCCTGTGGCCGACAGGCCTGCAGGCAGCACAGGGCAGACTGGGTGCACATCTGTGTCCCAGCGCAGTCTCAGAGCACAATGCTGCATGCTGCTTCTGCAGGGCCAGGCCCCAACACCTGTCTTTCAAGTGGCCCCAGAGGGACATCCTGCCCTGGCCTGATGCCACCTAGAAATCAGGACTTTTCCAAGACAAGGTCTAAGGCTCTACATGGAAACAGGCTGGAGCCCAGCTAAGGAGAAACGTACTGCTCACCTGTCACTTGGGGGTCCTGAAGAAGCACCAGGCTGGGGATGGGGGCAGAGGGCTTGGAGTGAGGCCTTCTCAGGGACAATTGTGTCAGCTTCGAAATCTGGGTAAGCAGGAAGTTTTTCTCACTTCATCCTGAAAACATAGTCTGCCGTTTGGCTCCGAGTGGAAACCATCAGGATTTTCTGCATGCCACATTCTAGCAGAGCGGCCATCATGCCTGCCACTCCCGTCCACATGCTATTGAGGTCCAGGGCTGAGTGGAGACCCTCCTGGCTTAGCTACAGGTCTGGCTGATCAGATCAGTGACCAGATGTGATGCCTGTTGGCACGACCAAAGGCAATGGTGCCTCTTGGCTGGATTTGAAGGGCTGGGAGGTGTGGGGTCACGGGCTCCTGCCACGAGGGCACTGTGCCTTCTGCGGGGGCAGCACTCACAGGACAGACGTCATTCACTCCCATGTTCCTAGGAGGGCCTTGGAGCCGCCTGCACACTGGCCCAGCACGAGGGCTTCTGCTCAGTCATCTGCGTTTCACTTAAGCAAAAACCTGAGCATGCAATTGACACTACCACCAGAAGGAAGTTTTCTGGTTTTCTGAGAGGCAAAATGCCTTTCTGAGAGGACTTCCATCTAGGGGAGACCTGGGGCACCCTGTGCAAAACGAGGACCCAGCCAAGCTTGTACATACCTGAAGAGCACCCGAGCTCTTCTCTCACTGGCCTTCTTGGCAATAAAGGGGAATTGAAAACCAAGAGAGCATGACCAAATGGCTTGTAAAAAATCTGCTTTATTTGTCAATCACCTTAACTCAGTTATGCCATTTTGGCGTCCACAGTGACAGTCCCCTAGAGGCTGAGGTCAGCCTCCACCCACTGTGATCATTAACCAGAGCCCGAGCCCCGCAGGGCCCCGCTGAACGGTTACAGGCTGCAGGCACAGCTCTGGGGCTCCTTGCACGCAGCCCGGCGCCCTCCAGCCCACAGCCCGCGAGCCTGGGGCTGGCTGCCCTGCCTCCAGGGGCCGCAGTGTTCCGTGGTGGGCCCAAGCAGACCTCGTGCTGTGGGGGAGGCGCCAGTTCTCTGCTCAGGACTGGGTCTGACAAGGCCACGTGTGATACGGTGGTAAGCCGCAGCCCAGGAGTCAGCAGACCTGCTGGGCCCATCCTGGTCCTGTTGCTGATTTGCCAGGTGGCTTTAGGCAAGCCGCTTCTTGTCCCTCGCTCAGTCTGTTTCCTGGTTACCAATGCCAGTGAGGTCTCTCGGGGCCCCTTCTGCCTCAGACAAGTGCCAGGTTTGCCACCTCTACTGAACTGTGACCATGGCTCTGTGCTTCGAAGGCCACTGTGTGCCTGGTGCTGGTGGGGCGTGTGTCTCCAGAGGGCTGTGCTCGACCCTGGGGCTCCCTTGTTAGAACCGGTGCATCCTTCAGGGAGAACACCCAGGCTTGTGGCACCCGGCTCTGCTGTCCCTGCTGCCAAGCCCTGTCTGTCCCCTGACAGGGGCCTCCCTAAAGGCCGAAAAGGTTCTAATTCCTACGATCTAGGTCACCTGTTATTGTGAACAGAACTTATTTTAGATGTAATGCTGAGTCTTTTTATATCAAACCCTGGAACAACTTACCAAAACAACCACCTCTGACCCTGACTTCCCCCGGCTCTCAGGCCTGCGCTCTCCTCTCTGCTGGGCGGTTCTGGCAAAAATCGAAGGAGATCGGCGTTGACTTGACTTGCATTTGGTCCTAAGCACAATAAAAAAGTTCTAAAAATACAAGTGGGGAGTTTTCAGCCTAGAAGGTAGCAGTGGCCTGTGCACACCAATCGCTGTCTTTCCACCTCTGAGTGCTGGCCACATGCCTCCCTCACTAGGGCGAGAGGAGGAGGGAATGAACCATGGGGAGGCAGGTCCGGCGACGACCGACTGAAGAACTGGGCAGACAGACGTCGCCTCAGGTGTCCTCCACATGTCTGCCCAGCTCAGCCAAGCGCAAGTCTGCACAGCTGGTGCATCCTGGCCTCACTCGATCATAAGACACAGCTGACTAAAGACAGAGACAGCAGAGCCAGGCTGACTGCTCTTTTCAGCCTCAGAGCCCAACTAGAACAATCAATAAGAGCCAACGGGCACATGCAGAAAAATTAACAGATGGCCCAAGAATGTCTTCTGGGAATTCATCCTTCTCTTTTGGAATAAGCTCTGTCCTAAAAAACTAATTTTAAAAGAAGAAACAATTGTGTCTTCCAGAGCAACAGTTTTAAGCAAGATATCCTGACTGGGAAGGGGACAGGCCAGTGAGTTGCCCACATCCACCAGAAAACACATGGTCTGCTCCTAGCCTCACACCCCACTGCCACAACGAAACACAGACCATTCACCGTGTTTGTGCTTCTCTCCAACAAGACATTCCCTGCGTGGGGGAACAGCTAAGACCACTGCAGCTGCCGATGGCACTGAGAAGGTGCAAAGGTTAAAACAAAAGTTATGTGGACGCTTGGGGACAGTCATTTACCATCCCCACCTCTGGCAGTCAGCTGAATGAAACCTCACTTCTACAGTTCATTCTGCCAATGCCAGAATGAAAAACAAAATTTCAAATTGGAAAATTTCTAGGACTTTACCAAGTGGAATGAAAGAATATGAAATTCGAAAACATTATTAAACAAAGTCCATATGCCATAGCAGCACTCGCTGTGATGAAGCTCCCACAGTGAGGTTTTGTTGTTTCCCTGCCTCAGCAATCCGGAGCACGCCTCCCCTCCCTGGTCCAGGGGAGACATGGCTCAGAACAGAAGGGCCCCCATGCTGCCAACTTCGCTTTGCTCCTTTACAAAGATCTCAAAGTACTGGTAGATGATCGTGACTGCGAGCAGGATCCCAGTTCCAGACCCGATGGCGCCCAGGAAGTCAGCCAGCACAGAGAGGGCCCCGATGCAGAGCCCACCAAAGGCTGCAGCAGTGGGGATGTACCTGGAGAGTGGGAAATGGGTCAGCTACGTGCTACCACGCAGATCCCTCCAGCCAGCCCCAGGCCACAGGAAGGGGCTGGGCAGGCCAACGTGCTTCCCTCTGACTCAGGGACCTGACTCCTCGAGAGGCCACTCCACTAGCTCCCTGAAACTTCCCCTGCTCACACACTTTGATGGTCTAGACTAGGGCTGTGCTGTCTGCTAAGTGGCCACATGAGCCACACGTGGCTGGTGAAATGTGACTATCCAAATCAAGATGCTGAAGATGTCATGTGAGATTTTGAAGATAAGAACATAAAATCTCTCATGATTTTTCTTAATTACAAGTTGAAATGACATTCTGGATATAATGGGTTAAATAAAATATTAAAGTTTATTTCACCAGTTTCTTTTTATTTTGTTTTTTATTATAAGTGACATTTAACATTTTATTAGTTTTAGTGTATCTTTTTACTTTTTTTAATGTGGCTAAAATTTAAAATTTCATATGTGATTGGCATTATATTTCTAAAGAACAGCACTGTAAACCTAGAGGCTTCAGAGAATTCTAACGAAGAGAATGAACAAAATTGCCTACTGCTCCTGCTGGGGATCAGAAAACGATCTGAAGTTTTTAATAGTGACTTTTTTTGTGGTTGCCTCCTTTAGGTGAGGTGAGCACGCTGCAGCCCACGGGACAAACCTGGCCTGCCACCTGATTTTGTAAATAGAGTCTTACAGGAACACAGCCACTTTCATTCGTTTATGTACTGTCTGTGGCTGCTTTCGAGTGACAGTGGAAGAAATGAGTAGTTGTGACAGAGACTGAAAAAACCGGAAATATTTACTATAGCCACCCCTGCTGCCCAAGAGGCAACTCCCTCATAAGTGAACACGAGGTGCAGACTGAAAAGTGCCGTGTAAGCATCCTAAGGGTCATCCTACGCTTTTCTCCTCACCCCCACCCCTACAGCCAGCTGGTCACCAAGTGCTACAGCCAGCCTCTCCTCAGCGTCCCCAAGTTACTGCCACACTTGGCCCCCCCACCCAAACTCTCACAGCAGCCTCGCGGCATTTGGCCTCCTCCCTGCCTCTCTGGAAGGGTCTGTCTCCAGTGCTGACCTTCCTAAAGGGACCAGGGGCTCCGCCCCTTCCCTGCCCTGCCTCTGCTGGCCTCTCTAGCCTCATCCATTCTTCGGCCCTCATCTGTGCTCAGACACCATCCCTGGGCTGCTCTGAGCTCCCAGGCCGCCAGCCCTTTGAAGAAGCCTGACCCTCCTCCTGGAGTGGTGTGCCCGGTGGCCGTCTCGCTCAGTCAGTACCCTACCACACCACCTTGTGACCGTCTGGCCACATGCTTCTGTCTCCCTCTCCGGTGGCTATCTCTTTGAGGAGAGGGGCTTCAGCATCCAGCATTTAGCAAGCTCATAAATATTTAAAGACAGAGGGACCTTTTTTGTAACCCAAGTATAAGATTTAATGAACCAGAAATCCCTAAGCCCTCTCAGATGCTTGATGTGTAAGAAAACCATGCATATAAGAAACCCACTGGGACCCAGGGCCAGCACTCACCGATTGAGTTCATGGACCATGGACGTCTCTCGGTGGCCCCTCATCACCATCTGCTGCTCCTTCAGCTGCTTTGCAACCTGCACGACACGCACCGAGGAAACAAGGTGAAACGTTAAGTGTGAAGCTGAGGGAGGCAGGCACTCACGGTGGTACTAACCACTCACAGACTGTCCTCTTCCACTCCCCGACAGTACTCACACAAACAACTCTAAAACTGCTGCAAAGAAGTCACATGACAATGTCTAACTGTCCACGGGGGCTCCAGCTTCCCAGACAGAGCACTCATTTACTGCTGGGCTCCGTCTTTGGCCATTAATACTTTGGAACCGCCCCCTGATGAAGATGAGGTGTCTCTGTGTGTTCACTGACCACTTTCTTAGCAAGAGGTGACAAGTTGAGACCCCTTATACCAGTACCAGATGAGAACTATTGTTTCCTGATTTAATTACCTCTAGAAATTGTAACTTATACTTACATCTTTGGCAGAAGAGCCTGAGACCTCAATCCACGTTTTGGAGAAGAATGCGCACGAGCCCAGCATGAACACTATGTAGACAACGGCATGGACAGGGTCTTCTAACACGGAGCCAAAAGATTCTGGAGGGGACAGGTAATAGCAAAGGCCACCAACTGGATAAGCACGTGCTGGACCCCCGGAAGACGTATCCTGGGAAACATACACAGGCAGTCAGTGAGTGCTCTTTCAGCATGCCTTAGCATCCGGACAAAAATAGTTCTGAGCAGAGGAAAAAGAATACAATTTTGCTCAAGTGCCCACAGTGCAGTTCTCTTACCAAAAAGAAAATTTAATGTGCTGAATCTGTAGAAGACACAATTAGAAATTATCTTTGGGTGAAATATTTGGTCACAGCAAGAACACGGATGCATACCACTGCAACTGGCCACAGCACTCAACTGACTTCTTAAAGCAGCCGTACTTACAGACCAGGTGCCCAGCAGGCTGACCAGCAGGTTGCCACTGAAGCGGGCTGACAACATCTGAGAAATGACGTACAAGTTTGACACCAGGGCGGACTGCAGGATGATGGGGATGTTGGAGGTGTAGAAGAGCTTGATAGGGTAGGTGTTGTACTGGCCTCGGTAACGGGCAGACTTGATGGGCAGGTCCACTCGGAAGCCCTGAGAAGTCAAACAGAACAAAATGCCTTCACCGCCTCATTCTGGCCGGGGATGGCCAGGCCGGTGGAGCGAGCTGCCCTGAGCATTGGTTCCAGGGCTCCCACGCCCCTTGTTACCCATCATTGCACTTGGGGGCACACGAACGGAAGGTTCCCAGAAAGACTGGCTTAAAAATGCACCAACACAGCACAGTGGAATGATCCCATCTTTGTCAAGAAACCAAGCCCACCGTGTTACGTCCACATCCATGTGGAATACACAGCAAAGCCTGAGGGATGCATCCCAGTCCTTCCAGTGGATCTCTAGTGGTGATCTCTCTCCCATGCTCTCAGAGTGGCCCCAAGACAGGCATCTGCCTCACACCCCAGAACAGCCCTGTAGGGTGTTTTTAATCATAACCAGGAAAGCTAAGCTTTCCTATGAATACAACCTCTCCCTCTGAAATCCTTGGACAATAGAAGGGGTTTCTTTTATATTATTTTTCACAAACTCCCAGTGCCTAGAACAGGGCTCAGAATATAAAAGACTTATAATAAAATCTTAACGATCCGATTGCAAATACTTGCCTAGTTCCTAAAGAGTTGGCTTGTTATTAATCAGGCACCTGACTGAAAGTCCCAGCTGAAGGAACAGACCTGTATGGTCCTCAGAAAAAGCATTTGGCTGGTATAAATAAAGCATTAAACTGCCTTCTCAACTGCTCTCTTCTCTTCAATAACTGTCAGAATACAAGTAGCCAATCAAAAAACACAAAAATTCATCCAACTACGGAAAAGCAACTGGCTGTTCAGGTCTCTTATTGAGAAGTAAGTTACATAACTAATAATCGGAAAAGCAGGAGGTCTCAGGAGGAAGGGGCTTTTCCAGGATGAGGATATGCCTACAACGCCCTACAAACTTTGGATAAGACAGTGATGAGGTTTTAGAGGTGGATTACTTTTCACTTCTCATGAACTAATAACTTAAAAATATATCTTCTTTATTTGCTGATAGGCCCAACTCAAAGGAACATGATTTCAGAGATGTTAGATCGACTTTAATTTTGTTTAGTTCAGGCAAGTCGCCATGACCCAATGGAACACACTCGTCCAGCTCACATGGAATTTGCTCCTTTAAATGCCACCTCCTCATTTCAATATGATACAATGATAGACACAGCACCCCAGGGTGGGGAGGGGGGGACGTACACATCCAAGCATTCTGAAATTTAAATGCAGACCATCAAAACTCCCAGGGGTCAGATCTGGACGCACCTGGAAATAGATGACCACTGCAAAGACAAAGATGGTGGCGATCAGATTCATGAGGTTGGGGAGATTCTGGCGGTAGAACGCCTCTCGAAGGGCTCGGACCTTGTCAGTGCGTGTGGCCAGTAGATGGAACAGTGCAATGATGGCACCTTCAAATTCCATTCCTGTTGGCAAAGGAAGGGACACATGGTAAAGAAACACAGCTTCTTAGTGGCCAAATTAGAGAGGAAAATAGAATGAGTATATGATTCATAGCACCTACTCCTATAACCAAGGGCTACAATGTAGTGTTCTTATCTCTTATTTCTATTTCTTCTGTAGCAATTTCAACCTGCAGAAGTGGACTACTCTACCTTTTTGAATTAACTGATCTCATTTCTTTGGCGTATATGAGTCAATGGCCACCAGATGTGTGGAATGATGATCAGTCTGAGCATCACCAGCTCTGAAATGCAGGCTGCCCGACGAGGTGGGGCGGGTGCTCTGCTCCGTACACTGACTGGTCAGACTGAAAGGGCAACACGTGGCTAATCCAAGTTGGAGCTCATGCCCCACCACAGGAAGGTGCTGGAGGAGGCAGGCCTCGTGACAGAGCCAGGAGAACACAGCCCGGAAGCAGAGCGGGCTCACTGAGGGACTGAAGGAAAAGAGCAAGAATGGGTACTAGACCTGAAGATCAGGCAGCAGCAGGACAAGTGAAAGGAAACTGGGAAGCAGAGGGCATTAGTAAGGCCTAGACATCTTATAAATTTTCAAGAAATTTACTTAAAAAAAAAAAAAAACACCCCAAAACAGCTAAAGTGAGAAACAAGAGCCTTGCCCTACTTGGGACCTTTGCTGGTCCAGGACCACGGGACTACCCCACAACGCAAGTCTGGCACTCACGCAGGAAGCCAGCACTACGTCCAGAGGCGTGGTCTCCGCGGGCAGGTGGGGCACCGGCATCAGCACCGCGAGGTGCGCCCGGTACTGCCCTCCAACAGCACCTTCCTCAAGTTCCTAACACGTGATGGTGGAACCTCCACCAGGCTGCTTCTGCCTCCGGCTCTTCCTGGACCATTCAGAGACTGGCAGCCCCATGCATCTCTTCTGAAGCCTGCGGGATGTGGCTTCCGTGAAAGAAGCACTCTGTCCTAACTGCGCTTCCTCACTCAGCCCGTGATGCTCTTTCCTCAGGTCCCATCCTGCCCTCCTTTTGGTCGTGTGACAGCATTGGCCTGTCTCCCCAAATGTACAGAATTCAGGGATCTTAAGGCTGGAGCCAGGACATGCTCTTATTTCACAGAGGACGATGCCCAGGTCGCCCAGGAAGCAAGAAGGAACTTGTTCACACTCTGCCCACTCTCAACACTGCCCCATTACCTCTCAGCTCCGACTACCCTCTCCTTGTTCACTCTGCTCCAGCCACACACGCTGACCTTGAACACACGAGGTACATTCCCACCTCAGGGCCTTTGTACCTGCTAGTTCCCCCAAATGGAACATTCTTCCCCCAGACAGTCACAGGGCTCCCTCCCCTTTCCAGGACTTTGCTCCAACAGGGTAAGGCCTTCCTTGTTACGCAGACTAACCTGCGACAACCCTCTCAGGACTCCCATCTTCTTCCTCTGCCTCAGTTTTCTCCTTGGTACCTGCGGTAACATCTGACACCCATATAACACATGCCTCACTCACTCTGTACTCCCAGTGCCTAGAACAGCGCTGGGCCCTCAGCAGGCACCTGATAAAAATTACTGAATCAGGGCAATGCCAGGGTTAGGCTCTGGTTCTCCTAATTTTTAACATAGTTATCTCTCGAAATTCACTACCTGCCGAATCTCGGAACAAGACAGGGTTTCCAAGTGCTAGGGTTCCTTCAGGGGCAAAAGCTGTTTTGTCACTGCACTGTCCCCGCTAATCCCGTTTTGGACCGTCCCCACTTGCCCAGGGAAGCAGCAATGGTTAATCCCCCAGACCTGAGAGGAGCTCAGTGGACCATGCCTTTCCAAGTCGCCAAGCTAAACCACAGCAGAGCTCCAGAGGCAGATGCCGTGCGGCCTTCTCAGCTGGGACCTCTGCCCTTCTCCAGGGTCCAGTCCTTGTGACCCCACTGTTCTCCCTTCCCCTTCACTCCACAGCAAGCGTGGTGCTCTCAGCGTCACTCGCTCACCGCCCACACACAGGTGGCTGCAGAAGCACCCGTCCCGGCTGCACCTTCTCTCCAGCCAGGCCCCAAACACTGCCAGCTCACATCGTGACACTTCCACTTTAAAGCAAGACACAAATCCACCTTTGCTTCTCAAGTTTCCATCACTCTTGAAAGAGCCCCCTTTGTCCCGCGTCGTACATTCCTTTCTCCTAATGCCCTCACGCAGTGCTTTCCTTCTAACAGGCTGGCTTGTCAAAGCTGGGTGACTGAACAGTTACCAGCTGCTTTCTCTGCCTGTCCTCCCCTCCAGCCCAGGGTGAGTTCTTCCTTCCAAACTCCAGTTCCCATCACCTCACTGGCCTGCTTCTGAATGGAAGGTGGCTTCCTGGCCAGTGCTGCCAGGCCTGTACTGACCGTGCTCCCTTGGCCTCCACTCCAGTATCACTTCCTTATAACTCAGGACGTCCCCCAGGCCAGACAGGGTGATGGTCTCGTCACACACCTGCACTCCTACCCCTGCATCCTCCTGCCTTTTCAGGCCCGTCCCTGAAAACCCTGCCTTCTGCCTCCTGCTCTCCCAATCTGCCTTGGACTTCCTAAAATTCCAGGAAGTGGCCAGGGAAGAATCAAATCTGATCTTGCCTACTCTTCTCTGAGGCTCCCCTGAGGTTTCCTACCTCAAGCTATACTCTTTTCTTCATAACTTGTTGGGCACATGTGGCTTTCATTTTTCTGGGAACTATTTTCAGTCTCAGTAATGAGATTATGTGGTCTCTGGAGGCCAGGGACTCTGTTTCCAGCATTCAATTAAAAAAAATACTCAAATGTGCATGAATATTTTTCACAGGATTCTTCTGAGTCAATACCATATTTAGATGGAAAATGCCAATTCCCTTTCCTAATAAGTCCTACTTCCCTGTATGTTTAGAAATTTTTATTAAAAATGTCCTCTGTAACAAGATTTCCTTGGCACTCATCGTGGGTATAACACAGAATACTAACATTTGATATGCATCAACCATGAGCCAGGCATCATGTAATTTCATGTTATTTCTCATTTAATCCTGGCAACCCAGGCTCAGAGGTAGAGGAATTTGCCCGAAGCCACTTATGCACCACCTACGGGGACAGCCAGGATTTGAACCCAGGTGCTGAACTCCAAGTTCAGGCCTCTTTCACAAAGTTGCCCCTTGCATGACCAAGCGCGTTGGTTCAGTGATTTCACTTTTAGAAACTTATTCACTGAGAGCAACTGCCAAAATATGTGAAGATGAACGTATAAGGACCTTCACTGTTTCACTGTTGTAATCACAACAGAAACCGGAAATGGCCTAAGTGGCCAGCAGAAGAAGAAGGGTTAACAGAAACGCTGCTTCATCCCTGCAATGGGATGCTGTGCTAAGAAAAATGAGGCTGGATTATGTATTCTGGCATGGCAAACGTCCATGAATTATTCTTACAGGAAAAATGCAAGTTATGTATCATTATGAGCATAAGCCTATCTATGTCTAAAAAAAATTTGTAGACACACACAGAAAGATCAGAAGAGATGTACCTAAAATTGAGTCGATTTTTCCTTAAGATGGGGGAAGTTTTGTCTTCTGCTTTGCCCATGTCCCCAGGGAAGCCCAAGGCCCTTACCTCGGCCAGTGTTGACAGTAGTGGGGCTGAATGCCTTCCACACAATGGTCTCGCAGATGTTCGTGGCAATGAAGAGGGAGATACCAGAGCCCAGGCCATACCCTTTTTGCAGAAGTTCATCCAAAAGTAGGACAATTAAGCCAGCAACAAAGAGCTGTAAAAATGAAAAAATAAAAGTAAAGAAACCCAAATAGAGTGCATTCCTGCTCCCCTGGGCGTGGTTTGCTCTTCCCTCAGTAACTGGCTTCTCTGATATAAATGCCGAAGGCTGAGCAGACATGGGATGGCAGAGCCTTCCTCTGGTGAACTCAGAAAGGCAAACACAGGGGCTTTGGCTTCTTCTCAGAGTTTCTTTTATGTGTGGTTCCAATTTGTTATTTGGGAAGTATGAGTGAGTGTGATGGGCTACTCTGAAGAGGGGATTTGAGCATAGCAATTACCTGAATGGTGATTAACAGGCAGATTCCAGCACCCATTTCAGAAGGGTCCCCGTACATTCCGGTCATCACATACACGATAGATTGGCCAATGGTAATGATCATGCCAAACACTAGAAATCAAAAGAAACCGTGCTCTCGCAGCGTGACCTTTCACGGTCGGAGAGGAAACAGTTACTGAACACCTACTGTGCGCCAGGCACCAGGAACAAGGAAGATGAAGAATACGGATACTGCCCCCGAGGAGCTCGGTCCCAGAAACACTCGACATCACGTCGGCAAAGCACATGGTAACTCAGATGCCTTTTAACAGAAGCGCGTGAGCTCTTCATTTCACCTTCTCCTAAATTCACTTTGCTTTCAGTGACAGGAGGAGGAAAAGAGCTGAAACACGACAAATCTGGTTCTTATGAAAGGTAAATCAGGTAGGAGAAGCTACTAAGACAACATGCTGAGGCATACAATTTGGCAATGTCACCAACCTGTAGCACCCAAACTCAGGTAAGGTCATGTGGGTCCTGGATGGCTCCTGAGTGGAACTATATACCTGGGCCACCTCTACTGGCTCCTCACCCAGGTCTGAGTCCAGAGCACGGAATATCAACGCCGGGATAGAGTGATCCCTTCCCAGTTTGTATTTAATGTATTTTTTTTGTGTGTGTGAGGAAGATTAGCCCTGAGCTAACATCTGTTGCCAATTGTCCTCATTTTGCTGAGGAAGATTGGCCCTAGGCTAATACCTGTGCTCATCTTCCTCTACTTTATATGGGGGGCTGTGACAGCATGGCCTGATAAGCAATGCACCCGGGATCTGAACCTGCGAACCCCGGGCCGCCGAAGTGGAGTGCTCGAACTTCACCACCGTGCCACCAGGCCGGCCCCTTTAATGTATTTTTTAAGGAAACACCTCACAACGCCATCAATTTGGTCACTAGTCCCATTTCCTCCCCAGAAAGCTCTTTTGGCCTATCAGAAGCTTTCTTTTTTGTAGACTGTCTTCGTTTCTTAGATCATTATACTTAATTGTTAGGCACAATGGAATAGACACATTTTTATTGGTTCCACAACGCTAGATGGATCTCTTAAGTACAGGTTTGGGCTTCAATTTCAGCTTTTCTGGTTAGTTTGTCATGTAAAATAAAATTTTACTCCAAAGTGCCCATCAAATATAGTCTCTATGTGACTTTTAAAAACTGCTCAATAACTCTGAATTCTTAAGGCAGAAAAAATTGTCAAGATTAAAGAGAAAACACCTGATTTGTGCTTTTAAAAAATAATGCATGGGGCCGGCCCCGTGGCTTGGTGGTTGGGTGCGCGCGCTCCGCTGCTGGCGGCCCGGGTTCGGATCCCGGGCGCGCACCGACGCGCTGCTTCTCCGGCCATGCTGAGGCCGCGTCCCACATACAGCAACTAGAAGGATGTGCAGCTATGACACACAACTATCTACTGGGGCGTTGGGGGGAAA